GCATTACTTTTTATATCCAGCTTCATATAGAAGTTTTCATGGATTTTGCTCTTGGTTTAAAAAGAAAGATTCACTATAACTACCTTTTCTTATGGTATTTTTATATTTTAGGAACAATATGATTTTATTACCAATATTTTAAACAATATCCTTTAAGTCATAGTTTAATAGCTAAAATGTTTGAGAACCTATCAAAATTTCTCCTATTATTTAAATATATATGTTTCTTGTTTATGAATTTTGTGATGTCTTTATCCAACAAATTCTAGTTCTTTTCCAGCTTAAGGGAAAGTGGGTCAGTATACAAATGTTTTGAGCATACTAATGTACGTCTTTTCACCATTTTTCATACCCCAGCAACATAATTTCTTCTTCCTTTTTTCCTTGCTCCTTCCTTCCTTCCTTCCCTCCCTCCCTCCTTCCTTCTTTCCTGCCTCTCTCTCTTTCTTTCTTTTTCTTTCTCTTTTTTTCTTTCTTTCTTCCTTCCTTTCTTCCTTTCTTTCTTTTGACAGAGTCTCGCTCTGTCCCACACTGAAGTGCAGTGGCACAATCTCACCTCACTGCAACCCCTGCCTCCTGGGTTCAAGCGATTCTCCTGCCTCAGCCTCCTGAGTAGCCGGACTACAGGCGCGTGCCACCACACCCAGCTAATTTTTGTATTTTTAGTAGAGACAAGGTTTCACCGTGTTGGCCGGGATGGTCTTGATCTCTTGACCATGTGATCCACCTGCCTGGGCCTCCCAAAGTGCTGGGATTATAGGTGTGAGCCACCATGCCTGGCCCATAATATGATATTTCTAAGGCATCCTGAGAAAATCCAATGAAGTTGCTTGTAGCCAAAGGCAAGTGCCCCGTTTATAGGTCTTGTACCACACCGTTAAGGGATGAGGAGAGTGCCGTCTCCAACACACTTGACAACTGTTTGTGCCTCAAAAGCATGATTGAAAAGCTCTGAATTAAGGCTCTGTAATTTTTTTAAAAAAGAACTTATCCAGCCTCTAGAGGTGAAATTAGTTCTAGAATGTAATGAGACTTCCTCTTTTATGAAGAATTTAGAAAGAATAAAAGAAGATAAAGTGGTATGGGCTCTTCAAAAAGTAGGGAAGACTCAGGGAAGATCTCTGGAGATTTTCTTATGACATTATTTTATTTTTACTATCATCAGTAGATATGGTTTATATTTGGAATTCTGAAATATCTGTCTGGATTTATTAGTACTTAAAGCATGCTAGTAGTCAGACAGACATAGAAAGGTGACTGGTAAGCAGAAGAGAATACTTGGAAGTAACTCTGGGGTGGGCTATAGGACATTAAATTAGAGAGCAAACGAGATTATTCCAAAGGAATGAATCACAAACTATTCAGACAATCTTTAAAAATCCAAGATAATTGGATGAGACGCTGAGTAGGTATCTACTGAGCTGTGTGAACTTCCCAAACTAGATTCTCCAGGACTTTGTCTTTGTAAGATCATCATCTTTAGAGGGGGAAAAAAGTGAATCCCTTTATCAAATAAATCTGAGAAATTCTGAAATAAAATTTTTCAGTCTTTAATATGCCCTCATTCTTTGTGTTCTAGGAGGAAACAAAAATAGACAACTTTTCTCAAACATGTTTGGCCACAAACACTTTATTTTTTCTTGAAACACATATTAATTTTTGTGAGGATACAATGTTTTTTCCTAACATAAGAGCAGACCTACCTTGCTGCCTTAAGATATACTATTAGGAAAGATACATGCCAACTTTGAAGCCTACGACCATTTGGTAGCAGCAATCTGTCCTTGGACTTGTTCAGTGGAAATGCCTTTTTGTTGTTATTTGCTTTTACTTATTTTCTAACTTGTTTCAATATTTTAAAATGAACACTATTATAATACAAATCTATTTGTGACATAAGTTTCTCAGTTTATATAGCTGAGTTTTGTACATTTTTGACGACCTAATCTTTCTAGTAGTTGAGATTTCTTCCCACTCTGGGAAAAAGTTGATGGAAAGTTACATATGGCTTTTATAGCTTTCTAATGTTATTTTATTTTTTTCTAATAAATTAGGAAAATGTAGAGAATTATAAATTAGTGAAACTGATTAATTTACTTGGTGAACTTTTCATACTTGATAGTAAATTCTATTTGTCATTAATCCAATTATGTATTTTAATATTTTTTCTATGTTACAATTTTTGTAAATTTTCTACAATAGAATATACTACTTCTATAGTGAAAACTCAGGCTATGTATTATATTTTGCTATATGATATCATATAAAATATATGATCTCAAAAAACTAGAAGGAAATGTGCAAAATATAACAGTGTTTATCTTGGCATGGTGGAACTTCATGTCATTTTATTTCTTTTATTTCCTATGATGAACATGGGGAAAATTTTAAGAATGCATAAATTTCCTGGAAAAATGACTTTTAAGTTTAACTGCATATTTCCAAATCTTTTGTCTAAATAAATCAGAGTAAATGTGCTGAACTGCTTTATTTCACTTACTGATGTAGGAACACTTAAAAGGAAATCAGATGAAGATCACACTTGCGGAATCAATGCAAAGAAACAAAAGGACTCTAAAATTCTTTTCTGCTTTGTTTGGTAGATGTTGGAGTTGATTACTTGATATCTTTCAATGATTATTTTTCTGAAAACTTACAGATTTTACATCTGAAAGTAAGATAAGTAAACATAGTCAAACACCAAAGGCACTGCTTCTTTCAGTGCTTCAGAAATTACTTTGTTTAAAAGTAATTTATCAAATACATGAGAAGTCATATTTTCAATATGACATTTCAAAAGTTTTACCCAAGTATTTTAGTTAGGTATTTTTCTTGTTGTAAGACGCATACTTCTTCAGTTTTGATCCTACCATTTCAATGCCAATTTAACTCTGAAGAAATATTAAATACAAATATAATCACAGTATAAAAACTTGCGTACTACGTGGTTTTCCAACCATAAAGTATTTTCAGAGGAAATTCCAAAAACCAGATAATTCCTTAACTTCCTGATATGGTTTGGCCCTGTGTTCCCATCCAAATCTCACCTTGAATTATAATCCCCACGTCAAGGGCAGAATCAGGTGGAGGTAATTGAATCATGGGGTTGGTTCCCCATGCTGTTCTCGTAATGAGTGAGTCTCACAAGATGTGATGGTTTTATAAGTGTCTGGCATTTCCCCTGCTTGCATTTCTCCTTCCTGCTGCCTTATGAAGAAGGTGCCTTGCTTCCCCTTGGATTTTTGCCATGATTTTAAATTTCCTGAGGCCTCCCCAGCCATGCTGAACTGTGAGTCAATTAAACCTTTTTCCTTTATAAATTATCCAGTCTCAGGTATATTTTTATTAGCAGTGTGAGAATAGGGTAATACAATAGCTTAGTTAACATTTCTAGCTTTTCCTATTTTTATCTTTACTAAACTTACTGTCACGTTTTATAATCAAGATTCTAAATTCATCTAACTTGCATTTATTTATTTATTTAGAGATGGAGTCTTGCTCTGTAGCCCAGGCTGGAGTGCAGTTATGTGATCTCAGCTCCCTGTAACCTCCACCTCCTGGGTTCAAGCAATCCTCCCACCTCAGCCTCCCAAGTAGCTGGGATTACAAGCATGCGCCACCATGCCCAGCTAATTTTTGTATCTTTTGTAGAGACAAGGCTTTACCATGTTGGCCAGGCTGGTCTCAATCTCCTGACCTCAAGTGATCCACCCGCCTCGGCCTTCCAAAGTTCTGCGATTACAGGTGTGAGCCACCATGCGTGCCCTAACTTGCTTTTATACATATGAGATGAACTATTCCATTGTGAAATTTATTTTTTGAAGCTGTTATATCAACATCATTTTTTTTTTCTGGCCTATATTTTACTTGTTATTCTGTATATTCTGATGTCTGCCCTACGAACATCCTTGAAAAGATAGTCTTGAACAAAGGCAGCCAGGCACTTCTCAACAGACGTAAAGAAATGTGAGATATGTAGAGAACTCCGTGCAGTAAAGCAAGAGGCAGAGAGGCTGCAGCTATTCTGATAGATTGCTACACTGTGGAATTAAGGGTGGCATTAATTCTTTTTTTCTCTGCTCTGTTTCCTTCTGTTAGTTACTTCACTACTGTTTCTGGCGTCTAGCATAATGCCTCAGTACCTAATACAGTGCCCTGCATTGAAGAGTCCTTACTTTTTGAGAAAGTAGAAGGAAGGAAGGAATTCAGTTTCCTATTACTGCCGTAACAAATTACCACAAACTCAGTGGTTTAAAACAACCATAGTTCTGTAGTTCAGAGGTCTCAACATGGGGCTCTCTCTACTAAAATTGAGGTGTGAACACAGCAGCATTACTTACTAGAAGCTATAGGAGAAAATCTGTTTCTGTTTCAACTGCCAGAGGCCACCTGCATCCACTGGCTCATCGTCATTTTTTCTGGCCTATATTTTACTTGCCTCAAAATAAATAAAAGGTTAGATTAATTTAGAATCTTGATTGTAAAATGTGAGAAGGCTCCCCTTCTCTGACTCCAAAGCTAGCAACATAGCATCTCTCTGACCCAGCTTTCAATGTCACGTCTTTTTCTGACTCTAATTTTTGAACTCTCCCTTCTACTTTTAAGGAAACTTGTGGTTACATTGGGTCCACCTGGATAATCCAGGATAATCTGTCAACCAATCAGCAACCTTAATTCTGTCTGCAATCTTAATTCCCCTTTGCATGTAACATAACATATTGACAGGTTCCAGGGATTCAGATGTATATATCTTTAAAGGGATCATTATTATGCCTACCCTCTCGCTTTTGAGGGCAGTGCCCATTCTGACCACAGATTTAGCTAACCAGCAGGTCATACAGTAGCAGGAGAGTAATGTAGGTGAAAGAAATCACTTAGAAGAATGTTATAAGCATGGCGAGCATGCTGAGCCTTGCTTAGCCAGTAAATCCAGTAATTATATTGTGATTTTAAAAAACCACTAAACTAGAGATAAGACAAGGGCATGAGTATCAATCGCCATGACTTTTTTGGCCGCACAGAAAAGGTTTGGCCTTAACATAGATCGATGGTTGACAATCCAAAGTGCTGAACAGCCCTACAAGATTCCTGCTCAATGCCATCCTTTTGAAAAAGAATGGATAGAATGTGCACATGGAATCGGTAGTATTCAGTCAGAGAAAGAGTGCAAAATAGAATATGATGATTTCATAGAGTGTATACTTCAGCAGAAAATGATGAGACATATGAGTACCATCAGGAAGCAGTGGGATAAGCTGATAAAGGAAGGGAAATACACCCCTCCACCTCACCATGTGAGCAAGGGGGAATCTCGCCCTAAGCAGAGCAGCTGCTGATGTCTGAAGGCTGATTCTCATGTCCTCTGTTATCCACTGGAAAGGTTGTTTACGGAAAACCTCCTTGTCAAAGTGTGTGAAAATAAATGGTTGCTCCATCACCCCCCCAAAAAAAGTCCACTAAACTGAATGATGCACAAATATATTAAAATAATTTTCCATTGTGGTAGAATTATGGATCATTTAAATTGTTAATGTTGTTCTGCATTTATTAACTTTTCTACAATAAGGTTTTGCTTTGTAATTATTAGTTTTTCAGCATTTCAAAACAATCTGCATAGACTGTGAAAGCTACAAACAGAAAAGAAATAAATGAAATGACACATAGGAAATTAACATATACAGCTACTCTTCGTAAAAAAAAAATTTATATAAATGATAAAGGCTTAATACATAAATTAGATAATAATTTATAAAATTAGAAAATTTAGAAAATGAAGACAAATTTCACATACCACTACTCCCAACAGAATCCCTTTAAGAAGTTTGGTATAGTCATCTCTATTCCAACATAAATGAGAAAATAGACATATTAAAAACACTGTAACTGTGGATCATTCTAAAATATAGTTAAATTATCAAGTCATTCTACTACACGTTTGGCACAGGCTGTTAGTAGTATCCTATTTCTTGTCGGAAGTTCTAGTATAGGTAAATAAGAAGGCATTAAAATGAAAAAAATTAGACTGAAGTAAATAAGAATTTTTTTTTTCTGGGCCAGGCACAGATGGCTCATACCTGGTCCCAGCACTTTGAGAGGCTGAGGGGGGAGGATCACTTGAGCCCAGGACTTTGACACCAGCCTGGGCAACGTAGCAGGGCCCAATTTCTACAGAAAACAAAACAAAACAAACAAACAAAACAAAAAAAACAAAAATCAACTGGGCATGGTGGTGCATGCCTACAATCCCAGCTACTCGGGAGGCTGAGGTGGGAGGATCACTTGAGCCTAGGAGGGCGGGGCGGCAGTGAGCCATTATTGTACCACTGCACTCCAGCCTGGGTGACAGAGCAAAATCCTGTTTCAAAAAAATAATAAATAAAAATTTTTTTTTCTGACAAACCGATAACGGATGGCTTAAAACATGTTCAGAGGACAGAGAAACTCAGCAAACACTGTGCCTCCCATGCTTTTGTCTCTGTGTATCAGGTTAAGTTGTAAAGGGATCAGGAAATAACTAGGGCTTCTTATTCAAGAGTATCAAATGAGATTCTCCACACAGGCTAGAGTCTCTAAAAGTTACCACCTGCAAGTCCCAAGCCACTCTTAACCAGTCAAGAAATACATCTCACTGGCTGATGAGACTTGGACTTAGTTCTTTTGCTAACTGACCTAGTACTGGGCATGCTAGTGTAGGGGAAAAAACAATTTCTTTCCTTTTTCTTAGGTTCTAGGTTGAGACACTCTCCTGAAGTCAGATTAACAAAAGAAAAATAAGCAGAAGTTTACTAACACTTGTATCCATTATGCGAGAGAGGCCTCTGGGCAAATGTATTTCTCTTTCAAGATAGTGCTTTAGGGACCTAGCTGAAATGGTGTTTCAACAATGACCCATAAATCCTATGTAGGGACAAGACAAAGAAGTGTTAAAAGACAACCCATAGCCAAATTAAATGTAACAGTTTAATTGATCAAAAACAACTCATAAATCAGGCAGCCTCCTGAGCTAGACTAGGCTGAGACTTCAGTGCAACCCTGTGGTGGAAGAAGATTTACAGATGGAAAAGGAAAGTGACATTCAGAAAACAGAAGTGCAATAGGAAACAGCTGCGTTGGTTATAGCTTGGCATTTACCTTATTGAACATGGTTTGAACAGCTGGCCCCCTTTGGCCAAAACACAGTGGCTGCACAAGCGTAGGCTTTAGTCTGTTTACACCCCCATTTAAGTTATAGTTCACTGTGTACAAAGAAACCTTTAGGCTGAACTTAAAATATGTAAGGAGGTAGCTTCAGGCTAAACATGATGTAATGGAAAAGAGTATCTTCAGGTTTCCAAAACGCAAAAAAAAAAAAAAAAAATGTAGGAAGGTAAACGTATGGGAAGAGGAAAGTCTGCTCCTAGATCCTCTGGCACCAGAATCTCTGAGTTCTGTTTCTGAGCTGATAAGCAAGTGCAGCAAAGGAGCCCATCTTCAGGTGGGAAGTGCAGAGGGGAGGGGCAGAATGTGCTCTTCCATTTCAACCTTAATTTTAGCTCAACAAGTCCCTTATTTTAGAGAAGAATATTTTAGTTTCCTTCATCAGAGATATGGGCCCAGAACATGTAAAATTAGTTTTTTCCTCTGTTTCCCTGTCTAGCACTCCTTTTCCTGACTAGAACAACTGGAGTTCTATCCAAAACCTCAACCTATAACAGATGGGCTGGATCACTGACATTGTGCCAGCTCCAGCCCTAGAATACAGACTCACGTCTGCCCAGAACAGCTGAAGCCTTGCCATAGAGGCATGATTTTCCAGAAGCACAATGCCTTTCTTCAATATGGCTATACATTTTTTTTTCATTATAAAAGCCATAATTACATGATACGACATGAGAAAATTTTACAAATAAGGACAAATTTCACACATAATATCACTACATGCAACACAATCCCTTTAAGACGTTTGGTATAATTATTCCTATAAAGTTTTTAATGTACAGTCATTTTTATAAACATGTAGAGCAACGTTCCCAGCTTCAGAATTAAATATACTTACACCAGAACTCAGACATGTCTGGGCACATCTCAAAGTCTTGCTGAGGCCTGCCAGGACAGAGAATTGTGAGGTGAGTGGGGCTCCCAGTTGGGATTCATACCAGCTCCACAGACCCACATATGATTTCTGGGGAGAGAGGACAATGAATGGATATGAAAAACTCTTCCCACCAACCAACCAGCAAATGAAAACCTAATTTCATTACTGTTTGAAACCCAGATATCAGAGTTTATCACTAAAGTGAGGGAAGAGTGATTCCTACAACTTCAGCAGGAATACAGTAGGACTTCTCCTTTAAGGGCTTAGGGATAGCTTTCTCAGGGCACTACCCAGAGGAGGAAGAGGAGGAGGAGGAGAGGGCAAGCTATGATCAGTGAGATGACTGAGGTCAGGAGAACAAATGAGAAGGGCTCTGGAAATGTGAGGAAATGTCTGATACTTCTAAAGAGGTTGAGGACAGAGGAATGTTATTGTGAACCTGTCATACCACCTCTAGCCTGGAATGGCTTAATGGAATTCAGGTTTATTTTGGAGCCTCTTGGAGCAACGTTACATCCTGGTGCATTGTCTGTGTGCTCCACAGATTACTTCCTTCCTTAGAATTACAGCTAATTGACATGTTAGAGACAGTGTTGGGGATTACGTTGCAAGCTCCTGGAAGACAGGGACTGTGCCTACCTCATTCCCTATTCCCAACACTTAGCACAGTGCTAGCACATAAGAAGTATTCTGTAAACAAATGCTAAATAAATGCCAAATAAATGCAAAATGAAGCCTAGTACCCATGGTGTACTAGGAACCTTTGGAGGTCATTGCTGATTTGGAGAAACCAGTGAACTCTGTGACAAGGCTAAAATTGAAGACATCCTGCAAACTGCTCCAAGCTCTTCGAAGGGTAGAAACTGATAAAAAGCCTGAAAATCATGGAAGGCCTAATTGCAGACCATCTGTACAACTGTGATGGAAGGCTGTGGGCAGGGCGTGATTGTTTTGGAAGGGTAAGGAGTGATTAGCTCTGAGAATGTTAAAAGAAGGAGGCTTTTTGGGATAAGAGAAACCTAAGAACTAGAAACAGGTCAGAAATTGGGCATGCACACCCGAGGTTATATGAGCCGGAGAAGTAAATTCAAATGCAAAATTTTAGTGGCTTAACATAATAAAAACACTTGCTATTTGGAAATGCAAATGCTTATCAACTGTCTGGAGGGTAATTTGATAACATCGTTATAATCAACTATGTGCCAGACTTTAAATGTATTAACTCATTTGGTTTTCTCAATAGTCCTGAATTAAGTATTAATATTAACTCTTTCATATAAATGGGGAACTCAGATGAATTAACTAATCCAAAGATGTACAGTGAAGCTGCAAATACAGGCAGCTTAGATGGTCACGATTTGAACTGGGCCCTGATCTCTTTCTGTGTATTGAGAGGTGAGGGCCTTCTGAGTGATAGTTCTGTTTCTAGGAATTTCTTCTAAGGATAGTCAAATATGTTACTAAAAATATTTTGATTATAACTTGGATTATAGTGGTGAAAAAGTTTAAGCATTCAAAGTGAGGCAGCAAGTCCTGGGTGTAAATTCACGAAAGGTTTTAGAGTCAGTTCTGGGTCAGATCCTGTCTATGTCACCTACCATGGGACCTCAGACAAGTCACTGACCCACTCTAAGCCTCTTCCATAAAATTCGAATATGCCTACCTCACAGGAATTTAAAATAGGAAAATACTGTTTTCTGGAAGGCTCAGCTAAAGATGTGACTGCATGAAAATAATAACTCTTTGAAAATCTCCAGATTTGGTTACTTAATTATACAAATAGAGCAATGTTTGCCACTGATACAATCACCTTAATTTTCAGTGCATTAAAGTTAGGGAAACCTCAAGGGAAACTGTAAAAAGTGAAAATTCTAAAATATTCCATAGCAGCTCCGATGAGAGTGAGTCTCCAGCCTGCCTCTTTTAAACCTCTGTCTGCGTTTTCCGTAGATCGACATTCTATGGTGGTGGAGGAGGTTATCCTGCTTGCTTTTGCTGAGACAAGGTCCTTTATTGTTCCACTTTAGTTCAAAGATGCAAGCTCACTAAGCATGCCTCTTTTTTGTTTCAATTTTAGAAATTATTGTGTTTTGTTCTACACCACTTTAACGTTCATGTAATTATTGAAATTTCACCACCCAAGGCATAAAAGGAAATATAGCCTGGAAGAAGCAATTTTTTAAGATGCAAGAGTGCCTTTGAATCCCAGCTCTCTTACACTGGTCCACGAAGTGAAACATTTAGTTCTTTATGTACCTGTGG